ATCCTCTATCTGCATCTTCCAGAAGCCAAAGTATGTACCGTCGAACCTTTCGATTTTCATTTTTCCTTCGATCTGCAGCCATCACTCCAACTCCGATCGACTTATCTCGCTGGATCGTTTCGACAATTTACGTGAGCTACAGTGTTTCGGAACACGATTGCGGGCAAATTTGTACTTGCAGACAAAATTTGCACTATTCATGTTTTCACTATTCACGGAATAGTAACTTACTATTCATATGAATAGTAACACCACAAAAATTACAGAACTAACAACCAGCTCGATACCAGTTGTTGGGAAAAATATGCTTGAATCTTCCCATATGGTCGGATCTGTGAAAGTGAAATAAAAGCGGAATAATTGCACACACAAGTTGATAACGGAGTTCGGCCAATAATGCCTACGTCTCCGGACTACTACGGATCTCTTCTACGGGAGAAAAGAAAATACACAAGTGTTTACAAAACACTCTCAAAGCACTCACGACTCACAACCCAATTACACCCGAAGCTAAACTAAAACTCTCTTGTTTTTACGCCTCTCACTTGGTGCCACTCTTTCTTCTCTAAGAGAAGTAGTATTTTGTGTGGGATGGGATGCTCTTGCTTGTAGGAAGAAGACCAATTTATAGCAAAAAATTGGCACTATGCATTACATTAAAATATGTCCCATGAGCACCTCATGGTTACATAAAAAATTTGGCAGCCACCCTTGCCCACTTTCTTTGACCAATTGCAGCCACCCTTACCCACTTTCTTTGACCAACACACTAAACCTTGGATGGTTAATATTTTTATCCAGAGAAATTAGTTAAGCTTGTATAATTTTCCAATTAAACAAAAGCTCAACTTACCTTACCTATCAACATAAATAGTATCAATTTTTCTAAATCTAACTTCTTAAAATTAACTATAATTTTTATAAAATATATTGTTTTATTAGATAAAGAGTTTCAATTTAAAAAAAATTCTAATTAACTTTCTATGTAAAAGCTATATATAAAAACAAATAAAAAACAAAAATATATTAAATAATAAAAATAATTAAAAAATGTACATAAAATTAATTTAAAAATATAAAATATAAATATAAATTATTAGAAATTATAAATAAAAAATAAAACTGCAAAATGTAATAAATGCTATATAATTTATTGTGATACATATATAATATTTTATAGGCTAAATTTTAATATAAAAATTTGGCCCATAAAAATTTACTTAAAAATGTCGGACATAAAATTTATAACACATATTAAATTTAAAAAATTTAAGAAAGAGATGTCGCAAATGTTAAATTCATCACCCAAAAGAGTTTTATTTTTATTAATATTATAAATTATATAATAGAATAAAATAAATGAATAAAAAAATATAAGTGTTTTAAAATAATGGTTGTTTTTGAAATTTAGTGGTTAAAGATAAATTAATTACTAAAATAATTATATTTCAAAAAAATAAAAAAATAAAATAATTCTTTAAAATTATTTAACAGTAACTAGAATTATTTGTTATATATATTAGACATTAAAATATTTAATACATGTTAAGTGGTAGGTGAGTACCAGATAATTTAATGTTACAGAACTTCAAACACTAAATTATAATGTTTCTGTTGAGTGGTAGGTGAGTACCAAAGTCTCGTACAAACCAAAATTATATTTTAGTACATGATCTTATCTATAGTATATAATAGAAATAATATAAAAATGATTAGGTCAGTGTGGTGTTATTATAATTAGGAAACTTCTTAGTCAATACTAAACAAGTATGACAAAGATAAATTAAGTAGTGAGACTAAAATATGACAACCAAATAACACGCATTGAACGAGGGTGATAATTTAGTTTTCTTCATATTACAAATAATAAATAAAAAGAAGAAAAAATATTTAAAAATTGAAAAGACCTAAATCAGAATAACAATAGAGTCAAAGTTATCATCGAGTACAAATGGAAGTTGCGGATGGTCTTAGTGATCTGTCTAGGTCTCGGTATCAAATGATTTATTCTTTATACTTTAATTATATTCCACACTATGTTAAATAAATTTTTTTAGTTTTTAAGTCATAAAATTCTAATCATAAATAAGAGTAAGTACTCATATGAGAACATGCTTTCCAACTCACAAGCCGGAAGACATATGTATAGAAAGAGTATAATTTCACATGTTTAGACACACTACTTGTTATTAAACTTACCATTATAGATCTTGTCTCCTCGTTAACATAAGATCCATTCTTTTTCTTGTGAGTTGCAATGTATAATTCTTCTCATCCTATAACACGTCCAAGATTTATTTCCTATAATATACATGATCATATAAGTTTAGAAGAATACTATAATTTTTTTTGTTAAATTTAACAATAAAACAAAAATATAATTTACCATTTTTATGTTGTTTTGTAGATAAAAGTTTTGTACCACCGGTATGAGGAATCTTTTGTTTTTTGCTGACAAACAACTTATTAATTCAAAACCAAGTTTAAAAAATAATTATTGATAATAATTATTTGTTATAACTACCTTATATTTTGAACTTAGATGATAATCAACAAATCAAGACCACTAATCTTTGTGAATACCATTAGAAACATTAGCAATTACTTGCTCTCTTGATAATGAACTATCATAGACTCGGTTCCACAAATTCATCTTTCCATTTCTATACTTATTTGACAAAGTGAACAATATCCCTCAGCAGATTTTTCTTACGTCCGGAAATGAAATAAATTCTAAAAAAAAAAGGAAATTAGTATATCATAAACCTTAACAAAAACAAAGCTGTAAATCTTGGGTTATGCATATACCTTTAAAGTGTTAAAACAATCATCCTTATATGATTTTGGAACACTTGGACAACCACCAACATTGTAAGTTTCTGCACCTTCTGTTCATAACTCATTCAACTCTTTCACTAGAGGTTGTAGATACACATCTAATAAATTTATAAAAAATATAAATGTAAAAAATAGAAAGAGATAAGAAAGAAGGAGGAAGTAATAGGGTGTTATGAATATTCAATAAGTTTGGTCATGAAAACGAGCAAGAGTGAGATAACAACTTGACGTGTTGACGGAGTGACGATCAACTTGTACAAATAAAACATGATTTTGAATTTTCTAACTGCGTCTTTGTTTCTCAGCTGGAAGAGTCCAAACCCCAGTTCAAAGCAATCCACCAAAACACATGGTTCAGTTTGCTGGGGAAGATTCCAAAATTAAATCAAGTAAAATCTAAAATATTCTTCGTCCTGTACAAATAATAATAGACTCAAAAAATATTAAGATAGTGTGCAAAAAAAAAAATCATGTTAAGAAATAAAAAAATACCAGATTTTAACATGAGAAAATCCTCAATAAAAAACCAAAAGAATCTCGATTAAAAAATAAACCTACTCATGACAAAGAAAACTGACTTAAAAATTATTAAATAAATTGTTTAAATAAAATATTAATTAATTGAAGTAACATTTTATTGAAAATAATTTATGTGACAGAATAGGTTATGTGAAGTTTTTTAGTAATTGTTTAAAAATAATAATAAATTAATGTGGAGAAAATACAATAAAAAATACTTTTTTTTAACTTATTAAAAAAATTTAATATAGTAAAATTAACATTCAATTACTTGAAAATAATATTACATTATAAATTTTTAGTTTATATTTTTCAACATAAGAAACTCATGTAAATTATTCTATTGAAATTTTCTAATAAAACATAATATATTAAAATCCTGACTTACATTATCAAAATACTAATCTCATTTATATATATCAAGAAAAAAATTCTAACTGAAACAATCTCCAAAATAATGTCTATTTGTTATAAAATATTCCAACTTCTTTATTAAAAATCAATCATCTCATAAAAACCTTTCATCTAAACTCATTATAAATAAATTTCCTACTAATTTTTATCCATTTTCCGTCTCTCACAGGATAAATAACAAATTTATTTTGAAAATAGTTTCAAGAAAGTTATTATTAATTCACAGTTCATGTTTTTGAAATTTAGTGGTTAAAGATAAATTAATTACTAAAATAATTATATTTCAAAAAAATAAAAATAAAAAATAAAATAATTCTTTAAAATTATTTAACAGTAACTAGAATTATTTGTTATATATATTAGACATTATTTTATTTTTGGGAATATTTTTATAAAATTTTATAATTTTTTTTACAAATTTAAATAAATTTTTATAATAAAATTTATAACTAATCTTTTAATAATATATATAGATAAAAAAACAATATTAAATATTAATTAAATGGTTATTGACTACAAAAAATTATGTCATTTAAAATTATAGATTTTAAAAGTTAAAAATCACTACAAATAAAATTTGTAACAATTAATATAACTATCATATTTATATATATAAAAATGATTTGTAATAAAAAAATTTTAAATGCTGATATTTATGTAAAAAAAAAATTTCAGTTGTTAAAAACTGTCACAAAATACGTTATTATTCTCATTTTAATTTAATATTTTGTTGTAGTTTGAAATTGTTAGGAATGTTATTTTTATGATTAATTTTATATTTTAACAATTAAAAACAGTTACAAAATATATAATATTTTATAATTATTTAAAACTTATTGGAGATTTAAAAATCCACCAAAAATTATTTAATTACTATTTTTTAATTATTTTATCAATAAATCAAAATTTTAATTATTATTTACAAATTATTTTTTAATAATTTTATAATTAATAATTAAAATATTTTTTTATTTAAAATTACTTTAAAATATCATGATAAGGGTAATAATAATTTTATCACTATAATAAAATCAATAAGTTGACTTTAGAAGGAGGAATCTTCTAAGCGCGTGTTTGTTTTGCCGTTGAAAGAGTCCAAACCCCAGTTCAAAGCATTCCACCAAAACACATGATTTTCAGTTTGAATATATATATTTAAAGCAGTGAAAAACCTTCAGATCAAACACAACATAAGTTTTGTATACATATTGAGCGTGTATATGGCAACCATGGGATGGAAGGCCACGCAGAAGCAACTGACCAGACTGACCGTGGTGTTACTGATGGCGTTAGCAGCTGCCGGGCAAGCCCTGTCCGGCTGCCCTGATTCCTGCGGAAGTGTTTCAATTCCATACCCCTTTGGCGTAGGCGTGTCAAAAGTCACGGGTAAGGACTGTTACATGGAGGAACACTTGAATCTCACATGCAAAGAATCCATTCTATACGCAGGTAACGTTCAAATTCTGAACATATCCCTCCTAGGTCAATTGGAGATGAATTTTTTCGTCTCCAGTATCTGCAAGAGCGACATTTCTAAAGGAAACGCCAACTCACCCACAATCACAACTGCATCCTTCACCATATCCAGCACGGACAACAAGTTCGTGAGTGTAGGCTGCGACACGTACGGGTATCTCAACAACTACATAAACAATGTGAAATACTCAACGGGGTGCTTGACAAGATGTAACGATGAGAATCAAGTGAACATCCAAAGCATGCAGACAAGTAAAGGGGAGTGTTCGGGGATAGGGTGCTGCCAGGTGGATATACCTCCTGGAATGACGAACATTAGTATACAAGCCTTCTCCTTTAAAAATTTCAGTTACTCTTCCAATCTCAACAGCTGCAGCTCTTCGTTTGTGGTGAAAAATGGGAACTACACTTTCTCGCTGGATGATTTGAAAAAACTTCCATTCGATAAGGCTCCCATGGTCGTTCATTGGAGGGTTGGAAATGAAACGTGTTTTGCGTCCAAGGATAAAAGTAACTATGCGTGCTCGAATAACAGCGACTGCGAGGACCCACCCTCCGCCAATGGAAATGGCTACCGATGCAAATGTAAAGCAGGGTTTGAGGGCAACCCTTACCAAGGTTGCACAGGTAATTATTTAATTATGCTACCTAAACATTAATATAACAATTTTTATTTTTATGACAGCTATTTGTGATTGATTGACTTGTACCATTGACTTTAGAAAATGTAATAAATAATATAACTGTCGTTCCAAAAATAAACACTGTATATTTCCGTTTAGGATTTCATGTCATTTTTTTTAATGGATTAAGGTGTTGTTCATTGTATATGTAGCCTTTTATTTCAGCTTTGTCATTTCTCGAAATGATTATTTGTGTTTGACCTTCGTAGACATTTTGGAATGTAAACTTGACAAACACAACTGCACAAGTCAAGATTATTGTCGTGAAACTCCCGGCTCTTTTGAATGTTTCTGTCCCGATGGACTCATCGGAGATGGAACAATAAAAGGCGGAGGATGTCGACAAAAGCCTCGGCCTGATCTATTTGCCAAGATCGACATTGGTAAGCAATTGTGTTATTCATATTTCACCTTCTTCAAAACGCTAATAATTTCCTTTTAAAACATAATTGGTTTATTCATATTTTGATAACAGGCGCAGGCGCAGGATTAATCGCTCTCTTTATTGGGGTTTCTTGGCTGTACTTGATGTACCACAAAAGAAAAGTCCTCAAATTAAAGGAGAAATTCTTTCAGCAGAATGGGGGCATCATTCTCAGACAGCAACTCTCTACAAGACAAGACTCCTCTCAATCCACTACAATTTTCAGTGCCGAGCAACTTAAGAGAGCCACCAATGATTTTGATGAGAACTTAATCATCGGTAAAGGAGGTTTTGGTACAGTTTTCAAAGGAGTTCTCTCAAATAATAAGATTGTTGCTATAAAAAAGTCCAAAATAGTGGATCAGAGCCAGGTGGAGCAGTTCATTAATGAGGTCATTATACTGTCACAAATTAATCACAGGAATGTGGTCAAACTCTTGGGTTGTTGTCTAGAGACAGAAGTTCCTTTACTGGTCTATGAATTCGTTAATCATGGAACCCTTTTTGATTATATACATAATCAAGATCAGGAGGCTAAACAAAAACCCAACTTACCTTACCTATCAACATAAACAATATCAATTATTCCAAATCTAACTACTTAAAATTAAACATAAAAAACTATAGATAAAATACCGGAGTAAATGAAATTACAATGCATCAAGATAAATAGGTTCAGAATTTATCTTATAGAATATTGCATCAATCCTCTAACATAGGAAAAAAGTTTAGTCTTCCATCAAAGTTTCTAAAATCTCAAAACCTAAAAAAAACTTCTACGCTGCTTCCTTCTTCGATGTACCCTTTCTCCTCTCTCTTCAGCTTTTTTTAACTTCATTAGTCCACTTTCCGCGTTAGCCTTCCTTTCTACACTTCTGTCTTTTCCTATTTCAGCCCAAGCCCAATAGCAAAGAAAAATAAGAATTCCACTATCAGCCTATGAGTGATGTCAGCCACGCAAGCCCACACCAAAATTATTCTAATTGCACCTATTTTTTCAACAAAACACAGAGACTACACTACAAGTTAAATGTAACGCTAATATATAAAAACATTGTTCAACTGTTACAAAAAATGCATGCAATTGACCTAATTTAATCTATAAATATGAGAAAAAATAAACATGCATCAATAGGTTGGTCTCATGACTAAGGAGACATACGGATCATACATCTGATATATAATATGACACTATACACTCCCTCAATCTTAAGTCAAATATAGTAGTACTAATATAATATAATATATCGTTAAAATGGTAGAATAAATGATAAAAATTATAGATTACAATGAGAATAACATTAATATCATATATTACAAGGAATCATTTAAGATCACATTATAAGAGGATCCATTAAGATTATATGTGATGGATTAAGATCACATAATATGAGAATCATATCACATATCATGAAAAATTAGACAAGATCCTATGTTGTAGAGAATTGGTCAAGATCACACGTCATGAGAAATTAGTCGAGATCACATATCATGAACATCAATCAATATCACATAATGGACGATTGGTCAAAATTACATGACACGAGAGATAATATAAAATCACTAACTATAGAAGATCTCATAAGATTAAAAATCATTAAAGATCATATAAGATTAAAAGTTACGGTGAGGTTCATGTAGTATCACACGTGAGAGAAAATGATATATTATGGTGGATCAAATTTATTAAATTAATATTTATAAATTATAAATCTAATTTTTATATTTTAATTATAATTTTTATAAAATATATTGTTTTATTAGATAAAGAGTTTCAATTTAAAAAATTTCTAATTAACTTTCTATGTAAAAGCTACATATAAAAACAAATAAAAAACAAAAATATATTAAATAATAAAAATAATTAAAAAATGTACATAAAATTAATTTAAAAATATAAAATATAAATATAAATTATTAGAAATTATAAATAAAAAATAAAACTGCAAAATGTAATAAATGCTATAATTTATTGTGATACATATATAATATTTTATAGGCTAAATTTTAGTATAAAAATTTGGCCCATAAAAATTTACTTAAAAATGTCGGACATAAAATTTATAACACATATTAAATTTAAAAAATTTAAGAAAGAGATGTCGCAAATGTTAAATTCATCACCCAAAAGAATTTTATTTTTATTAATATTATAAATTATATAATAGAATAAAATAAATGAATAAAAAAATATAAGTGTTTTAAAATAATGGTTAGAAATATTAATTTCATTGTTTATTTTATTGGTATGATATAAATAAATAATGAATATGAATAGTTAATTTAACAGAAATCTGTAATGATTTATTTATAGTAGCTTACCTCGCTCGTGGGAGCACTTGTTCTCTGGGTCTCGGAACTTCGTTGCTATTTTTATGCGTCACTCACTGCTCTTTCATTTTCGCAAACAGGTTTAAGGCATGATTATGGGTAGTGGTCACGATCGCGTTATGGGGTCCTGGATTCGTTAGGAGGACGCTGAATTTTTATCTTTTATTTAACGGTTTGTGCATTGGGCGTGGGACTGTTATAAAAAGACTTGGATAAAACTTTCGTATCTTCTCATGAATACTCAAGATCTGTTATCTCTAGATTTGTATTTTATAATGCTTTCTATATAATAAGAGCATAGATATGTATTTTATAATATTCTCTGTAACTCTCATTTTGAGTTGGCAATTTTATGTACTATTAGATGAAGGTCCTCTACTATTTATTGGGTTCACAATTATTATTTTGTTTTATGGTTAGTTGGTCTTGGATAGTGGGTCACAATTGGTACTGTGGCTACTAGTCTCATGTTTAAACAGATACATTGATTATATGACTAATGTGTAATATAATATTACATACTTTATAATCTTCTTAGCAACATGTTTTTATATTTTGTTTTTGTCTAGTGGAGATTTTAGTTAGTTTTGATTGAGTGAAAAACTTGTTTCAAATCTAATTTTAAAAATTTCTTTTATTAAATTAATTTGGATCTATTCATATTTCTAATACATGGGAACCCGAATAATACAATATCATAATAGTGAGATTATAAGAAACAATCTTAATTCATATGATACCAACTTAACCTACCTGTCCGACCCAATAAATAATGGGCCGAGACATGTTTTCGGAGATTCCAGCCTCAAAATTTGACTCCAATGGAGATTTTTACAAAATTTTGCTTGATCTCTTTTCTGAACACCTCAACTTGTTTGTTAGCCAAGGGATTATATCTTCTAGCAACTTTATGAAAACCTTATACTTTTATAATAAATATGTCATGGTCTTGTTGAAAAAAAAAATGCTCCCTAATCATTATTATTACAACTTTAAGCACACCAAACCTACAAAAGATGTTGGATGTAATAAAATCTTTGATAACTTTAAAATCATTAATAATAGGAACCTTAGGTTTCATCACCTACAACAAAATATTTATAAGTATGGATCGTTTTAAACTTAATATTTAAATTTATTTATTTATTTATTATCTACATGAACGAGGAAGTACAATGCATACAGATAAATAATTTAGTATATTTACAAAATAAAGTATAATTTGACAAGAGTGAATTGTTTATTCAATTTTCAAGAACAATCTGTCACCTAGTTCACAACAACACTCTTGTACATGATGTTTATGTTAAAGTTCTAAAGAAAATTCACCTAGTTAATCTAGATTAACATTGAACTTCTTTAACATCAGTTCAAACATACATGATTAAATAAAACAAGCAATGTTTGGAATTAAACTTATGCCTTATAAAATAAATTTATGGCATGGTTTATTATTGAAAACTATGGCCAATAATTTTCACCTTCAACCGTTTCATCAGTTAATTAAATTTTGCAATTTAGTTAATAAAGAATATAGACATTTATAATTATAATTAATGATAAATAGATCATTATAACAAAACAATAAAGATGGTGTAATTACTAGAGGACAGGAGACCGTAGAGGACGTTGATAAAGTCTTCGTCTACCCTCGTAATTTTGTTTTCCTGGTGAAGGAAAAACGAAGACAAAAATCTTAGAAAATAAATAAATAAGAGACGACCAAAAGAAAAATAAAACTACTAGGTCAAGACATGGCAGCAAAGTCTTCGTCTAACTTCGACATGTTTGTCGTCAGTTACAATGTGAATGTACCCCATTTATTTATTTATCAACTTATGTGTTGCTTTAATATATTTTATTTAGGATCAAGAAATTTCATAAATATTTACAGGGGTGAAAAAAAAAGTTTCTTAGTAAAAATTATCATGAACTAAAAAATAGATTTTTTTTTCAAATAATTAATAGGAAATATTTTTACAATTTGGCTTCACATACATCAATTTTAATTTGTAAAATGTTTAATATCTTTTTTTACTCTCTCTTAAAATTTAGAAAAAAAAATCACCAATTTTTTTTTCATTTAACATTAAAAAGTATCTTAATTAACTTTAAGTAAAAAATAACATTAGCAACATAATAAAATAAAATTCCTATAAATATAAATATCAATATAAACTAAAAGAATCTTTAATGATATCGATAAAAAATAATTATACTATTGATTAAGAAAATTGACTAAAAAATTCCTAATAAAAAAATTAATATATTAAAATCCTGACTATCAAAATGTTAATCTCATTTATATTAATAAAAAAAACTAACCGACATTAACCTCCAAAATAATCTATATTAATAATATAATATATTTAGTAAAAAACTATTTTGTTTTTGTGACGGAGGAAATTCGTCCCAAAATAATAAAGAATTTGTCACAAAACTATTTTTTTTAAGAAATATGTGATAAATCTAAATGTCATTATAAAATTGATTTTGATAAATTTTTTGTAATGAACTTTTTCATGTCGTCATAAATAGCTCTCATTAAACAAATAATAAATTTATTTTAAAATAATTTCAAGAAAGTTATGCTTTTGAATTTTAGTAGTTAAAGATTACTTAATTACTAATGATAATTATATTAAAAAAATTAAAGATAAAAATAATAACTCTTTTAAAGTTATTTAACAATAACTAGAATTTTATATATATATATATATATATATATATATATATTGTTATGACAAAAATTATCTATAATCTAAAAATAATTTTTTTTTCAAAAGTCTGAAAAAGAAAATATTTCATATATGTAAAAATATCATCTATAAAGAAAGATTTAAAAAAAATATGATAAATTCATAAAAAATATAAATGTAAAAAATAGAAAGAGATAAGAAAGAAGGAGGAAGTAATAGGGTGTTATGAATATTCAATAAGTTTGGTCATGAAAACGAGCAAGAGTGAGATAACAACTTGACGTGTTGACGGAGTGACGATCAACTTGTACAAATAAAACATGATTTTGAATTTTCTAACTGCGTCTTTGTTTCTCAGCTGGAAGAGTCCAAACCCCAGTTCAAAGCAATCCACCAAAACACATGGTTCAGTTTGCTGGGGAAGATTCCAAAATTAAATCAAGTAAAATCTAAAATATTCTTCGTCCTGTACAAATAATAATAGACTCAAAAAATATTAAGATAGTGTGCAAAAAAAAAAATCATGTTAAGAAATAAAAAAATACCAGATTTTAACATGAGAAAATCCTCAATAAAAAACCAAAAGAATCTCGATTAAAAAATAAACCTACTCATGACAAAGAAAACTGACTTAAAAATTATTAAATAAATTGTTTAAATAAAATATTAATTAATTGAAGTAACATTTTATTGAAAATAATTTATGTGACAGAATAGGTTATGTGAAGTTTTTTAGTAATTGTTTTAAAAAATAAATAAATTAATGTGGAGAAAATACAATAAAAAATATTTTTTAAAAAACTTATTTAAAAAAATTTAATATAGTAAAATTAACATTCAATTACTTGAAAATAATATTACATTATAAATTTTTAGTTTATATTTTTCAACATAAGAAACTCATGTAAATTATTCTATTGAAATATTTCTAATAAAACATAATATATTAAAATCCTGACTTACATTATCAAAATACTAATCTCATTTATATCAATAAAAAAATTCTAACTGAAACAATCTCCAAATATAATGTCTATTTGTTATAAAATATTTCAACTTCTTTATTAAAAATCAATCATCTCATAAAAACCTTTCATCTAAACTCATTATAAATAAATTTCCTACTAATTTTTATCCATTTTCCGTCTCTCACAGGATAAATAACAAATTTATTTTGAAAACAGTTTCAAGAAAGTTATTATTAATTCACAGTTCATGTTTTTGAAATTTAGTGGTTAAAGATAAATTAATTACTAAAATAATTATATTTCAAAAAAATAAAAAATAAAATAATTCTTTAAAATTATTTAACAGTAACTAGAATTATTTGTTATATATATTAGACATTATTTTATTTTTGGGAATATTTTTATAAAATTTTATATTTTTTTTACAAATTTAAATAAATTTTTATAAGAAAATTTATAACTAATCTTTTAATAATATATATAGATAAAAAAGTAATATTAAATATTAATTAAATGGTTCTTGACTACAAAAATGTCATTTGTGGCGGTTAAAATTATAGATTTTAAAAGTTAAAAATAGCTACAAATAAAATTTGTAGCAATTAATATACCTGTCATATTTGTAGATATAAAAAACGATTTGTAATAGAAATTTTTTAAATGTTAGTATTTATGTCAAAAAAGAAAAATAAAATTCCAACAGTTAAAAACGGTCACAAAATACATTATTATTCTCATTTTAATTTAATATTTTGTTGCAGTTTGAAATTGTTACGAATGTTATTTTTATGATTAATTTTATATTTTAACAATTAAAAACCGTTACAAAATATATAATATTTTATAATTATTTAAAATTTATTGGAGGTTTAAAAAACCACCAAAAATTATTTAATTACTATTTTTTAATTATTTTATCAATAAATCAAAATTTTAATTATTATTTACAAATTATTTTTTAATAATTTTATAATTAATAATTAAAATACTTTTTATTTAGAATTACTTTAAAATATCATGATAAGGTAATAATAATTTTATCATTATAATAAAATCAATAATCTAAATATATGATATATCAATAAACTAAATTATTTATATTAAAAATATAATGAAATGTATAATATATTTTTCATTTGTTTTAATGACGAGAAAATATTAGTTTGATTTTCACTTAAAAATAACTAAATTTGTAGTTTTTAGATGTAATTCACTTTGACAAAGTGTTTAGCTAAATATAATTCAATATCAACTAAGATAGAATCAAATTTCATCCTAAAAATCCAATAAAATTCATGACATTATTCATTAATAAAGAGTATCTAACAATATACGATGTTAATAGATTCACAAATTTCACAATATATATGTCAAACTTAATGAAAATTACTATCCAATGAGTATCCTCCTATGATGTTGGCATATTTCATTCACTT